GACACATTAAAGACAACAAAAAAACAAAAAGAATGCGTTGCCTCTTGAAACGAAACTGTTTATGTGTGAAACACAAAGAAAAATAAGCAGTAGCGAGGAAGGATGGATACAATACTACAGCTACGTCAATCATCCCTGTTACTGTCTTGTACCATATGAACACTCCTGACCTCTCAGGTCATCTAAAAGTGTCCTGCCAAGATGGATAAATTGAAGACTTATGTTCTCAACTGCATCATTATCCACCTTGATCTTCCTCATATTTCTTAATGCTTTCTATCCTTTTGAGTATTACTGTCTTTGCATATGAAATACGCTGCATTAATACATTTTCCCTGCATCCCATTATTTGTTAGAATTATAATTTCTGTTTAAAAAGTGCAGTGTCTCACAAATAAGTAATCAGGCATATGTTATCATATGAAAGATTACAGTTTACTAACTTAAAAAATAAAAACCCAATATAGCACACTTACAACAGTGTAAAAGACAAAGGAACTTTGTGTGCAGTCTCTACAGTAGAGCACGAGCTCTGGTGACTGCAAAATTAATATATAGTCAGAATACGGTAATAACTACTCCCTACTGTCAAACACTTGAGGTTTATTTCTTTCTGAACTCTAATAGCATGTTCAACCTTTCCCCTCACAGGTTATTTCATAAGGGATGGTGTATTATGATTAAAAGATGGAAATCTAGAGGAGATGCATAGATTCACATTGTGTCACTATAACACTACACTACAACAAAAGCAAGTCAGTTAAGCGGCCGTCTGCACCTCTCAGTGGTTTTCTGGACTAAGCCACGATAGTTCATCATCTCATCAATTTCTTAAAAGTTTTTTATGTCTGGAGAAATAGATTAAAGGTCACCTCGCTGAAACCTAGGCCACAGTGTCTCCGGTTCCGGCCCGATAGCTTCCCATCCATTCCCTGCTGGTACTGCATCTCTAGCTGATCGCTGATCTTTTTTTCTTCTTGCCCTGCAGAGGAGACACCAGTCACAGCAGGCACACCCAGCCAATACAGGCCTATCCATGCATGGATAGATCTGTGCGGCGGATGTGTAGTGGGGAAGCCGGGTTAATTGCATTGGGCATAAGGATAAGGCAGCAAGGGTAAGTGGCAAAGGGACAGTAGTTTGGACATGTCTTACATTAGCAGAACAAATTCAGCATTTTACAAAGGCTGGATAAAGAAGCTCACCACTGCGGAAGTGGGACGTCGTCTTGTGGTCACCGATGACGAGGCGCCCAGTGTGTTCTTTCTGGAAAAAAGAAACAATCCAGTTTTATACCAATTGTCACAACTTCTCTTAAGGTTAGAGAGCGACAAGTAAAACCGTTGTTTTGTGTTTCAAAATGAACGTTTTCCTTTTACGCTATTGACTCCCCTCCCACAATAAAGCCAACTGTAAGCGTAGTGATCTACAATACACAAAACTAACCTTGCCAGCGCCCATCAGTCGTAAAAACTTCTGTTTCCTTTCGTTGCTTCCCAGATCAGCTGATGCCCACTGGGTAGACCCATCCTACCAACGCAAATCATCATTATCACACATAGCCTTAAAAGTTCATAATATATCAGATCATTTAAACGGACAATCCCCTACACATGTGGAAGTGTCAAATATATGCTAATAAAATGAAATGACAAAGTGACCACTTAGGACCACATTACATCACTCATTGAAGTTATGTCCGCTGTGTTATGGGAGACAATAAGCAAGCTGCTTTTGTTGGAAGAAAACCTGTGCATGTGGCTTCAAATATTTGCAGAATGAAGCCACACAAAAGAGAAATATACCCAACTCACAACGCTAACAAAATATGGTTATAAAACAGCAGTCAACAGGTAGCAAAACAAAAGAAAAATAGGGAGAAACAGCACTCTGACCTTTTAAACTCTGCTGAAAGCTCCGATTTAACCGATTTAAATAATTCAATAATTCGATAATCCCAACACCCTGACTGATAAAAACACAGTGCTGCACTGTGAGCTTCAACGCTGTTTAAAGAAGGTACAGTGTTTTCATTCTGGACAAAGGAAAGGGATCCAATTAACAAAACATTAAGCATGATTTTAACAGCATGCCTATCCTCAACCCATTCATTTGTTGTTCGCAAAATCTGCATAAAATCTGCATATTGTACCTGGAAAAGTTTCCAGTTTCACCGGATAGGGACTGTTGTTTTACGGCATAATACATTTTAGGAACGAGCACAATGCCAGGCTGTAAAATATTGTATTATATTATGTGATTAAAAAAAACATTAATTCTTATTTGTCTTCATTCTGTTTAAGGTATTTACAATTGAGAACATAAAGTTAGTAGTAAATTAAAAGGAGGATAATGTATGACCTCCAGTCAGTAATCCTTGCTGGGTAAAAAACTCCAGTCGAGTCAACAGTGAAACGTATTAAAGGTTTACTGATACAACATAGCACACTTTGTGGCATATTCTTGTTCAAATACTTTTAAATGAGCTTTTAATGAGCTTTAAATGAGCTTTAAATGGCGAGTACAGACTCCACTAACGTGTTCACAGTTCTCCACGACGTTAGCATCAGGCTAATGCAACGCTAACGTTGTCCAAGTCATCTAAAGCTTTCGTCTCCGGATTGTGTTCAGATTTTATTGTGTTACTCACTTCAGTTGGAGACGCGGGTCGTTTCGTCCCATGCCTGTCCTCTGGAGAACTCATTATGAACGACAGTTTTTGTAAAACGTTAAAGAAATTTCATGCCACCTAGCAAAGGCTAGCTGCTTTTGTCAACAATATTCCAACTTCCGGTCCCCTCTTCTTCTACGTTTCTGTTGTAGTCGCTCTCTCTGCTGCCACAGGAGAAACAGGATTAGAACAGGATCTGGTTACGTTTATATATATATATATATGTGTGTGTGTGTATATATAAACACACCTATTCATTTAAACAATCCTGTGTTTGCACAGTTTATCCTCTTTTGTTCTCTTGTATCTCTTTTAAATACCATCCTTTCTCGCCCTTGTTGCAAACTTACCCTTTCTTGATTATATTTGACACACAGCATCATTACGTGTTCAACATTTTCACTTACATTACAAAGCAGACATACTTATAAATTGACTTTCCCTGATATAAATAGTGTCTTATTAAATTTAATTCTTATTTAATTTTAATCTGGACAGACCTATCTCTCGTCTACTTCTTCCTTTAATAGTCTGCTCTAACTATTTTTGCTATTCTACAGGATGTTCTACCCTCATTCTCTCCATCCCACAAAGTTCAAATATTTTCTTTTTAATTAGTGCTTTATCTTCCCCTTTTCCAAATGAAATGTCTATTATATGCATCGTATTTATAGTGCTCTTTTAGCCACCACATTTAGTAGCTCACTGGTGGTTTGTTTTACATCATTTGAGCCAATTTGAAAACCAGTTGAAAACCACTGCCACCAACAGAATTATATAGCATATACGAGAAGAGAGGTGTATTGAACTTACGAATACATTATGACATTATGACGTTAAAGTCCTCGGAAGTATTGAGGGGATAAACAGGTAGGCCAATTTCTATAGCAAATAACAAATGTGGATATTTTTTATTTACATCATGTACAAATACTTGTGTCATTAAGAAAGTAAATATAACTGCAAAAAATAAATATAACAAATATTTAGCCTAATAAATTGGCCTAATAAACTGCTTTATAGGGCTATTGTTTGACTGTCCTTGTCAACATGAAGAGGCATCTGTGATTTAAAACACAATGACCCATCTCTGAAGTAATTTAAGATGTTTTTATTAGAACTAAAATGCATTTTAACGTAGCAACAAAATAGCTCTGATTCATCAAGTGAGGATCAGGATATTAAAAAACCTCTAACTGATAATAATTAATAGCCTTCCAAATCTCTATATTTTCAGTTTGGAGGATAATAGCTTAAAACCGGATATTTTACTATTCTATAACCTGTTCTCATTAAACTAGACTACCTTTAGCTATTCATTTCAAAAAGCCTTCCTTTGGCTGTTTGTGTGGTCATGAACATGAAGGCTACAGACTTTGTAGTGAACCCTCTATCGGACGACATGCATTAAAGCCGCCAAAAGGTGGCGCAAGAGTAAACGTAATAAAGCAGCAGCCCAGAGGCGCTCACAGCTCTGACAGGACGCTAAAACCTCAATTAGTGCAACACACAGTTGTCCAGATATCAGAGGAGAAGTTTGCGTTAGGGCTTCCAGTCATTTTTAGCACCTTTAAGTCTTTTAAGTCTCTTTCTACTCTTTTGTTTAATTTATAAAGATGAACCCAGACACTTTCCTTTAATGATTTCAATGTCAGTGCTTTTTTCTTCTTTTGCGAGATGAAGAATAGACTAATCAAAGTTTAAAGACTTTACAGTATCGGTTATGCCTCAGAGAAGACGGGAGGAGACATTTTCGAGAAGAGATTTACTTTTAATCGCAGACTGAATCTCATTTTATTCCCAAAATGTGAATTTTGAATGCTAAACGACCGTAGGTGAGGCATTACTTAATTAAACAATGCAAAATATTAGCGCAGAGAAAACTTTACTTTTATTTGCTTATCAACATTTGTTTTAAATTAATAAACAAACAAACATAAGGCTGTGGTTATTTCTGACACACTGAAGATGTTTGTAAGAAAAAATGTGTCCAGAGTAAAATAAAAGCAATAAAAACAATTTATCCAATTTATTATTTAAAGTGGTCGCCAAGAGCAGGTGACCAGCACGCTCGCACGCAAGCACGCAAGCACACACACGCGCGCGTATATAGGCTACAAACACACACAGAGAGAAAAAGGACAGAAATAAACGGAAAAGTTCAAATAAGCAATCACTTTGATGTTTTAGAGGACAATTCACATAAAGAAAGTGAGACATAGACAGATGGATAGACAGATAGATAGAGAGAGAGAGAGAGAGAGAGAGAGAGAGACTGAGAGAGAGAGAGAGAGAGAGAGAGAGAGGAGGGGTTATCCTGCTTCTGCCTCTTTACCCAACACTGTCCCGCACTCTCACTTAACCTCCACATAGTGCCGGACGGGAAATTACTTTAAATACTTTTTTTAAAAACTCCGAATGACAGTTGATCTGACTCAGTAGCCCATCGCCCCTGACGACGACGCTGAAGTGTTTCATTTTCCTTTCTGATTCTCGGCGGAGCGCAAACAGAGGAGTTACCAAAGTCCCCGACACGCTCCAGCGATGGTGACTTTACGCACGGGATTTGAAGGCTATTTGAACTGACTCCTCTTGTTTGGTCTCGACGCTGAAACTCTCCATCATCGCACACAACAATCTTCAAGTTTGCCAGAAACACGCAGCGAATGACGAAGAAGTGAATGCAGGTAAGAGAAGTCCTGTTGCATCTGTGTGGACAGCACCGGGACCGTCACCCGGCGCGTCCTCCGGGCCGGGTGTTTTTAAAAGTCGGTGCGCACTCCGCTTATCTCTGCTTTCCAACAAACAGCGATGACAGCAGAAGATTCAGTGGCCATCAGTGTCTTTAAACTCGCTGTTGGACAGTGATTAGACTCGGTCGACCCTACATGACCTGCAAAAACTAACTCACAGAATACAAAAAGTTCTATATTAAGGCGTCTAAAATATTCTGTGGAGTAATTTATGAATGTTCTGACTTACAAATGTGTCTTAAAAACACATGCAAGTAAGTAAGGTTTGTGATAAAACAATTATAATAACCATTATCGGGAGTTTGTTGTTATAGTATTGTTATTTACAGATTAGTTATATAACACATGCAAATATTGCATAGAAATATTGATTTTTCCCTTTATAAAAACAATTATTGAGCTTATAAGAAGCCCATAACAACCATGTGGATGTGAAATGAGCCTAAAACTGAGAAACATGTTTATAAAAACTTTGCAAAAAGTTGTGATTTTGCGTCACTTTTATCCACTTAGACTCATTAGAGCTGGCGATTGAGGGGTGGGGGGCTAAAATACAATTACACAACATTAAATCTGTGATCCCACAAACCACACAGATATGAACAGAAATCTGACTTCCAAACACGTGTAAATGAATCGCATTTCCACCGTTTTCTCCCAGTTTAAGATATTAGGTGTACACCTAAAAAAAACATTCAAGGTTCCTTTCAGCCATAAAAGATGCAACTATATTGTGCAAGAAAAGCAGAGGCATTGACTTCACTTTAACTGTATCCATCCTCCACCACACCCCTGTCATCCACTATTAACAGGAACGGTTAAGCGGTTCTGTAGCACCAGAAAATGGTTCTATGAGCCCAGAACCTATTAAGAGACATTTACAAAAAGTCTCCGAAACACCATGCGCAAAAAAAGCTTTGGATAAAATAATATTTGATAGCAAATTTTTAAAAAAAGATAAAAGAGAACTTTAATTAAAAAAACAAACACCGTTTTTTTAATTCGGATTAAAGACATAAGAGGGCTCGTACAGTGTGAGGATGATGCTTTGAGTAGTTTCCTCCTCGGCCACACAGCGGTAGCCTTCTGACCATAATCGTGAACGCCTTGCGCTCTGCCGGACAGACTGCGATCCTCGTGCGCGTCCCCGGCCACTGCGCACCTCCGCAGACGCACAGTTCACCCCGCAGCGACTCTGCGGTGCCCCGTGCTCCCCTCACATGTACTGGAATACAATAGATACAAATAGACTGCAGAGAGGATACACTCGGGAGAAAGCTGTGCGCCTTTAGGGCCCGAGTTAACTTTCCCCCCGGGGGTCACTGCGGCTGACCCTAGAAGAATGCGTGAGTCATAAATTAAAATAGACTCGGAGCCCTAACGCGGACCCATTGGGAGACAATACCGGGGGAAAACAGGACAGTGTCCCAGCACGGCGGGAGAGTTGAGAAATTAGTCTGTAAGTTTCTTTTTTTTTTCTCCCCCTCACATGATTTTAAAGTGCGATCATTGTCTTTCTTTGTTACATCGTTAAAAGTTCGGACCGTGCGTCTTAACTTTCCGGGTGATAAAATATGCCAATTTCACTTGTTAGTGGCGCAGCCTGATGGAGTGACAACGATGGTTTGTGTATGGAAGTTAATTGTGGGTGTGTGAACCTGAGCCATGCGTGCAGGGGCGACTTTCTTATCCGGAGCGAGGAGTGCGCGTCTCGGACAATCAGCTGGGTCAGACTGACTCCATGTGTGAAAGTTTGGCCCCGAGTTCACGGTGAGGAGGTGACAGAGGGTACAGGAGGACAAGGCGCACGACAACGGCCTGGAAAAGACTGATAAAGTCACTTCAGGGTGTTCCCCATATTTAGAGCCACACTACACCTCTCAGATAAGCCGCCGCTCGCCTGCAGATAAGGAGCTTTTAGAGAGAGAGAGAGAGATCATACATGCTTGACAAAAATGAGTTTGAAAACCGCTTAAGAGGAAGGAAGTCCGGGCAATTGCTCGTGTGATTTGTGATTTTAAACAACTTAAAGGGGCTGTATCTTAATCACGTGGCATATTTTGGAGTTTTTGGAGAGAAAGTGCAATTCCACCAGCATCAGCTTTAATTGTTTTGCGCATCCACATTTTTGTTTGCACATCATATCACTCCTCTATTCAGAGTTATAATTGGCCGGCTTGACAGATTCTCCAGTTGCCAGTTTGGACCTGCCCTCGCCGGCCTGCGCAGTAAATCACAATTTCCAACGAGTTGTTTTAATTGTTTGGACTCTGGCAGAACAATTTATAGACCACCGCCCCCCTCTCTTGTAAGTGAGAGTGTCTGTCTGAAAAACAATCCGAGCAGAGGGGGTCGCTGAAGTTGATCTATGGCATTTTGTTTTGAGCAGGTGCTGCGGGTTGAAGTTCCCTCATAAGGTAAAGTGGCATTAGAGTGTCCAAATGGCAGACTTATATATAGGCTGCCAATTCAGCACATTGTCCCGGGCTGCATGGTTGCGCTCACTCCGCTGTCTGTGGGAGACCTGCAGCGTTTTTCTTTTTCTTTTTTTTTTCTTCTGTGCGCTGACAACAGGCGGACAAGCCTGGGTACAGCGGCCGGTCACTGTGTGGTCCATTAGGATTCTGTCAGCAACATGAAATCACTATTATGAGCCGACCATAAAATCAAATGCCCCTAATTTCTGTGGTACATTCGAGTTAATCTCCGCCTGTGATATAAAATAAATTTAAATAATTTACAATATGAAAAATGAGTTCTGATGAGAAACATTTTTAATTCTCATGCTACATTTTGTGTTTTTTTTTTCTTCAAATCATACAGATTCATTTGCTCAGTTAGAAATAAAATGCATCTTAATTTATGGGCCTGTACCCGCACAGATAATGATTTTATTTAATTGTCTGATTTTCTGATTTGATACAGGCAATTCCATTTTCACACACACACACACACTCACTCACTTTCTTTTCCAACATCAACATGCACACATTTAGCTGTTGTTAAAAACACTTTTTTAACACATTTATTTTAAACAAAATTCTAGACACTGAAAATATCAATTTCAATTTATTTTACTTGCCTCCTATCTTAAGCCCTAAAATTGTGCATGCTGGTGTTAATGTAATGCGAGGCCAACCTCAGGATCTAATTTTCATACTCTGAAATCTATCCATCGCTCACACGCTATTCTAATACGCCACATATATTTCTTTGGCTCTGAGGGGTCTTTTCCTCTGGTGTGGCACAGAGGGACTCTTTAGTGGCGGAGAGAGGGTACAAGCAGTTAGAAAGGCTCAAGATTAAGAGATTTGACGGCTGAGAGAAAGAGAGAGTGAGATGAAGGGAGAGATTGAACAGGGGAGGCGGAGGACAGTTCTGAATTTCGAGCTTGTGACTGTGAGTTTGCCATTCATGAGACATCCACTCCTACCTGATATGCAAAAGAAATTGCATTTTATTACAGTTTCAGGGCGCATCATCACGTTTAACCCCCTTAGCAATACTGTTATTTTATTTACCCTGTCTATGGAGCTAAACAGCTATCTTCCATCTCACCACAGTGTTGCACATTTAAGTGTTCCCACATGCTGTTTTTTGCAGATGTCATTCACCTTCATCGGAAAACCGTCGCTCCACCATTTTAAGCCTGTGGCCGATCCAGAGAGTCCTAATTATTTTTTGTCAGGCTCTTTGAAAAAGACACCAGCCCCCAAATTGGACATGTGTTGTACAAACACAAATTAAACATTTAGCCCTAAGTATTTCTCCCTGGGTCCTAAGTGCATATTAGTCAACCTATACTTATCTCTGGCCCAACGACACACCCAAATTGCAGTGTTGCTGCTGAAAAAGAAAGGTTGAGGCCCCGGAGAATGAGCACTTGAAGCACGCTGGCAGATGCCCATAAGTTTCTCAACCACAATGCAAGCATAGGTGTGTGTACGTGTGCTTGTATTTGTATGCGCGTGTGTGTGTTTGTGGATTTTTGGTATCTTTTATGACTGTGTATATAATCAAATCTGTCAACTGTTCCTCTGTGTGGATAATCGTGCATTTGGACATTTTATCCTCCATGTTTTATATGTGTGCATGAGCATACCTGCATGCATGTATGAATGCATGTCCTTGTGCACAGTTAGGTGTGTATAATATAAAAGCATTTCTTGGTGTGTCTCGCGGTGTGTCCTTGTGTCCTTGTCGTGTGTGTCTATGCTGGGTGGCCTTTCTACCTGCATACATGTATGATCTTGACTCTGAGTATGTGTGTGTGCCCCGCTGGGTGGGCGTACTTCTCTGTGGATCCCTTGTCTGTTCTCCACTACCACAGAACCTTGGAAACAGCTTCCTCATTTTTCCCCATAGCGGGGGAATAACGAGGGGCCGTGTTCTTTCTCCTCTCCCTTCTCTTTCAATGGTCAGGGCAACCTTTCCTTTCTGCCGCTGATTCTCCGGCACCTGCTCCCCGCCATCCACTTATAAAAGCTCAGAATAATAGCTTACCTGATGCACCACCTCCTAATGACAGCATTCATTTTCATCTTCACATACAGTATTTAGGTAACATCTTTGTTCAGAATGGTGGCGTGTCCTCGTCACGTTCATAGCAGCTCATATTTTTTTGAACGTGCTGATACACAGAGCAGCTCAAGTTCATGAAGTTCATCCTCTTGCTCTCCTCTTTTCTCTCTCTTTCCTACTCCTTTTTTCTTCAGGCATCAGGGTGTGTGTCACTGCGTCTGATGACTGCAACATTAACAATGGCTATTATGTACCTGCAAAGGACTGAGTAAGATTTATAAATGTATGGTTTACACAAGAGCCTTTGACAAATGACTACTGCACTATTCACACAGTCACAACCCTGGCGTCCTGCCTAGAGAGAAAACTAACAAGGGGTGATTTAAAACTACACTAAACTGAAACCAATCCAT